GAGAGGCCCAGGTTCGAGTCCGGTCAAGGGCATGTACCTTGGTTGCGGGCACATCCCCAGTGGGGAGTGTGCAGGAGGCAGCTGATCCATGTTTCTCTCTCATCGATGTTTCTAACTCTCTAATCTCTCTCCTTTCCTCTCTGTAAAAACTCAATAAAATATATAAAAAAAAAAAAAAAAAAAAAAAAGAATCTCTTGCCCTTTGAGACAGCTTTGAGGGGCCTGGAGAGAATCATGCTAAATAATAAGCCAGTCAGAGACAGACAAGTATTACATGATCTCATTCATATATAGAATCTAATTAACTAAATAAACTGATGAACAGAGTGGATCCAGAGACATGGAAGTATGGAACAGGGTGTGGAATCGCAGAGGGAAGGTGGGGGAGGGTCAGTGGGTAGGAGCTAATCAAAGGAAGACCTTGTATGCATATATGCATAACCCATGGATGCAGACAGTGGGGTGGTGAGGGCCTGGGGTGGGGGTTGGAAGTTGACTGGAGGTTGTGGATGGGGCAAAAAAGAGGACATATGTAATACTTTCAACAATAAATTTTTTTTAAAAGATCCTGGGTAAAGTTATCTGGTTGGAAATCAACAGGTTCAATCTATTAGGAGAAGGAGGGAAGAGCTTCTTAAAAAATTGACTTAGCCCAGGCCAGGTGGCTCAGTTGGTTGGAGCATCCTCCCCTAAATCAAAAAGGTTTTGGGTTAAATTCCCAGTCATGGCACATACATAGCTTTTGGGTTGGATCTGGTCAGGGCTCATAGGGAGGGAACCCATCAATGTCTGTCTGTCTCTCTCTCTCTCTCTCTCTCTCTCTCTCCCTCTCATCAATAAACATATCTTCAGGTGAGGATTTTTTAAAAAATGTAAGTTTTAGACTAATGAAAACTTATCCCAATTGGTAGATCTTTAGAACCTTTGTATTGGGAAGAGTAACTAAAAAAGAACTATTAAATTAATGACAGGCCACACTTCCACAATGTCTGGGTTATATTCTGTTTGTTTAACTCTACTGAATTTTAAATAAATTGTAAGATATTGTCAATATTTTAATATATGCTAATATTTGCTGAAGGAAAATTAACATTTTGGGTTTGGGATAGAGTTGTAAAAGGTTTTCCACATTCTTAAATATGGCTTTACTGCATTCAGTTAAATTTTGTCCAGAAAGACACATTTCTAATCTTAAAATGAAAATCAAGGGAAAAATGTAGCTCGCCATAATTGTGCTCACTGCAAACTGCGGAGGCGTGCCTTTATATGGCAAGGGGCATGACATATACTCTATATCATATATGCACCCACTATTTTTGTAAGGTAGCACAGGTGCTCTTTGTTCTTATTCTGATGCTATCTTGTCGGAAAATCAGTCCCATCCATTCCTTGACTCTTGCAAGTTAAATTGGCAGAAAATTGTAAAATTATAAAAGAAAGATATGACAACCATTCCAGGTCATTCAATCAATCCAGAAAATATCCATAAATTCCACAACCTTTCTCTTTATTCCTAAAGACCAGAGACACCAAAATAAGAGTGGGTCAGCCGACCTGATTCTTTGGTGTATTAAGTTAGCACACCCTGCATCTGAAGTGTCAAATGCAGGGAGTGGAAAGAGACTGAGTCACCATTGTCCCTGGAGATGGTACAACATGTGAGGCCAAAAATATGTGTGTGTGTGTGTGTGTGTGTGTGTGTGTTACTGTTTTTATTTTTTGTGCTGACCCTTTGACTAAAATTCTTCAATTTTTTAAAATATGGGAGAAACAATAAATATTTCTCTTTGGAAAACCGTTCAACTTCTTTTGTTAAGCAACGCTGTGCGTGTTTCACGGCCTGCTTTCTTCCTGTCCGCTTGGTCCTCAGGTCAGGAACGAGGACACTTTCCTTTCAGGGACCATGGGTCTGAGTGTCACCCTGGCCTCAGCAGCAGAGAGCAGCCTAACCTGGAATTCCCTGGGCGTGTACCTCCCTGGGGGTCCAAACAGCCTTACACCCATCGCCATGATGGAAAGAACGGCCTGGCGACCCCCCAAGGGCCTACCGAAGATTAGAGCTCCATTGTCACGTCCCCACCTATAAGGGAGGAGGTCCCAGAAACACCCTCTCTTCCAGAGGTCCTGCCATGGGGACCCAGGGGCACTAAGGGAAAAGGCATGCTGCAAGCATCCCCCAATCAGGTGGTTGCGGGGACCGAGGGCCCGGGCCGGGGGGCTGGCTGGTCAGCGCAGGCGCGTCGGTCCCCCGGCCACCGCGCCCTGCCCGGCGATGCGCTCCAGCCAGAGCGACTGGGCGCAAGTGTGCGCGCTGCCGGGGGCGGGAGGGATGCTCCCATTCGGCCGCGAGACGCCAGAGTGAGCGAGCACCCCCCAGTGACCACCTAGACTCCATTTTATTTCCTCGGAAACCGCGGGTAGGAGGGGGCCGGCCGCAGGGCGGGGTTCCTCCCGGCGGGGGATGAGCACCGTTAGCC